GGGTATCGCTGACAGGGGGGTCGCTGACAGGAATAGCGGGGTCCGGGACTCCCCCAGGCAGCGGGTCAGTCCCCGCCTGCCCGGGGCAGAGCCCTCGCTGAGGCGGTGTTGGTGTCAGGCAGCGAGGCAGATGAAGTACATCCTGGTCACGGGCGGGGTGATCTCGGGCATCGGCAAGGGGATCATCGCCAGCAGCATCGGCACCATCCTCAAGTCCTGCGGGCTGCATGTCACCTCCATCAAGATAGACCCCTACATCAACATTGACGCTGGCACCTTCTCCCCGTATGAGCACGGTGAGTGGCCCTGCGGGGCTGAGCTGTCAGCAGGCAGCCGGCCCTGAGCTGCGCGCCGGGGTCTTCTAGGTGGGTCCTGGGGCTGGCTTTGCCTGGAAGGAACCATCTCCTTTGCGTGGCAGAAGAGTTTGCGTCTGGTCCTGCACTGGGACCTGCAGGCTGAGCCTGTCGGCGGCTCCGGACTGACCGGTGGGCTGATCGTGCCACCAGCAAACAGCAGAGATGTGCTCTCTGGTCTCTTATCATTGCTGCCTGGATGAGGAAGTCAGTCCTCAGTGTAGTAGTCCCCTTTGTTATGTAAGGCTTTTAGTTTTATTAGCCACTCTTAAACTTGCTGTAGTAATCAAAGAAGGTGTTTCCTTACATTGAATTCTTCCAGGTGTCACAGGCAAAACCAACAAACTGCTGATGTGGACCGTTTCCCCTTGACATGTGTGCTTGTGCCTTTTTCTGTGTGCCACAGGGGAAGTGTTTGTGCTAGATGACGGAGGGGAAGTGGACCTGGACCTTGGTAACTATGAGCGCTTCCTTGATATCCGACTCACCAAAGACAACAATCTGACTACTGGGAAGATCTACCAGTATGTCATCAACAAGGAGAGGAAGGGAGACTATCTTGGCAAAACTGTCCAAGGTGATGCGAAGCTTCATTTCTGATGCTTAGAAATATATTCTGTATTTCTGTCCTGGTTGGAATGCTTTTGCATTTTGTCCTAACTTGAGGTCTTGTTATACACTGTCCTTGTGATGTTTTTTGTTTGTTTTTTAAAAGGGGAAGTAGAAGACACACCAGTGCAGGTGTAGTGGTGCATGCCATACAGAATCAGGTTACCTGTAAGCCCCTCAAAGCTTTCCAGTGCTCAGCAATATGCTGCCTGTTGTTGGGACTGTGTGCTGGACTTGGGTCCAACTGTCCAACGTAGTCAATACTAAATGTGAACAGACTTCAGACTAACACACTTGTGGATTATTTGTTAGCTGGTTAAAATTATTATGGCTTTTGATAACTGTCATGTAATTAGAAAACCCAAAGAATCTTTGAGGATCAGATCAGTCCCTTCCCTTTTTAAGCATCCTTCACAGCTGGTTTGGATAAGGACTTTTACAGACAGTTTAAAACAGAGTAACTCTCTCTGCTTAGAGCAAAGAACTGTTTGTACTTGAATTTTGCAGCTTAAAGGAAACGTTGCTTACATATGTTTAAATTGAGGCAGGATCGCATTTCCTGCCAAGGCATTTCACTTGAAAATCGCAGCCAAGAATAATCACTTCACAAATGCATACTTCTTTAAAGACGCAAATCAGTGCTGAAGTGATATGGGAAGCACTGGCTAGTTAGTTTCAATAATTTGCTCTGTAATGAGTTAGAGGGAGAAATATGTGTGGGTTGTGGCTTTAACCCTTTCTTTTTCAGTTGTTCCCCACATCACAGATGCTATACAAGAATGGGTAATGAGGCAGGCACGAATTCCTGTAGATGAAGATGGCATTGAACCCCAAGTTTGTGTGATTGAGGTTTGTAGCTCTGTTAAAAAAAAGAAAAAAAAAAAGTTTTCCTTCTTGAATGGAGTAAACTGAACTATGTGCATACCTTGCATGGTAAATTTTTTTTTTACAGTAATGTTCAACTTTGCATGTTGTTGAGTTGGATAAAAATCCCCCTTTGTTAGCCTCACTTATTTGGTCTAATCTTTTGAATGCTCTGTGTCTGAATCCACCCATAGAAAGATGTAGTCTTGGACAGTTACATTTTTGAGATGCTTCCCTCTCTAGCGTAATGTGAATTAGTTTATAGAATGAATTTTAGCTCTTGTAACTATATACCGAAGTCTGAGTTAATCATGCTGTGCTCTCTTCTTCCTTGGTGGATGGAGGGTAGGTAAATCACCCTCTGGAAGCAGTCGTCTTTCCTCCCAAGCAGTAAAGGGAGCCTTGGAGTGACTAGTTCAAGCATAGACCTAGAAAAGTGAATCGCAGAAGTTAGTGGTGACAAACCCCTTCGGTTTCCTGTGCGTTGTATGGGATATCCTGCTGCCAGAGGAGACAGAGTAGGGCAAAGGCTCTGAGACGGTGCTGCTAAGTTGGCTGGCAGGATATGCTAATACAGGAGAGAGGGAGCTTGCCAGAGTGTCCGGGTCATGGTGACTTAGGGCTCTCCCTGCAGCTTGAGTGCCAGTATCTGTTCCAGGATTCACAAGCCTGGATCCTGAAGTACCTAGGAGGCACTATCTGACAACGCATGGGAGGCTGTCACTGTTCCAAAGAATGCCTTGTGTCCCTGTTCCTGCATGTGTCCAAAACCACTCTATATAGTTACTAAAACTTAACAGAAATTTTGCTTTTCAGTGCCACCTAATGTTCATAAATGATAATTTTAACACCTAAGTCTCTTCCCTGAAGAGAGAATAGAGGCAAAGGTAATGTCCCTGGGGAGGTGCTGCTCATATGAGAAGCTGTTTTTCTTGTGGCTTTTTGATTTTTGGGGAAATCATGAAGGTAAAATAGTAGTTGGGGTAGATTGGAGGCTGTGGAAGTAGTACATACAACTGGCAAATCCTGCTTTTCATATTGGTGTTGATGCTCCTTTAGGGAATCAGAGGGAGGTGCTGGGGAGATGTCCTTTTATATATGTTTTAGTATGCTTTAGTGTACAAATTCAGTAGATGATGTTTCGGTACTAACTTTAATTCTAAATGTCTTTGTCTTTTTTAGCTTGGTGGGACGGTAGGCGATATTGAAAGCATGCCTTTCATTGAAGCTTTCCGCCAGTTCCAGTTCAAAGCCAAAAGAGAGAATTTTTGTAACATTCATGTCAGTCTAGTTCCCCAGGTAAGGACCTAAAATGTTTTGGTGGTCAGGGACTTCCCCGTCTAAAACTTGCTTTCTAAGTATGTGTTTCTGAAATGGTCTATCTATGGGCACTGTTATATTTGTATTTCTGTATATGGTTACGTATTTAAAAAGGTTTTCAAGAAGTGAACAGAAACTTTTCGAAGTGTGTAAATACGTAATAAATAGTTGGGAGTTGCAGCAAATGCAGTTTTGCATCTTTAACTGCTGTTTTACTCTATGGAATTGTCTCCTAGCTTCTGCAGGTAAACTTGATTTCTAGGGCTGAAAACTTTCAGTTTCCCTTCGTTTGCATAGCCTTTCATTTCTGCAAAGCTAATATAAAATTCAGTGATATAGCCAGACTTTACAGCCATTTGGACTTACTACTAAGATCATACTCCAAGCTCTTCCTGGAGTTCTTTAATATTTCTGTTGCTGTGTGCCCTTTTCCCTGCTTCCTCCCCCCCCAAGATTTACATTAGCTGTAGTTCATGAAATAGGTTGGGTTACTTTTGTAATTTCAAAACCTAATACTGTTTTGAAACATAATCTGGGTTTTTTTTTCCTTCCCCTAGACAATGTGTGTTTTGATCTTTAGCAGTGATTTCGTAGGCTCTCACATCTGACTGCTATGTAAGCCTTAACAATCTGAGTGGCAGTTGCCACTGAGTTGGTTCAGAGATTCAACTAAGAAAAGGTGTTATGAAGCAGTGCTATGATCAGAATCAGTTAATTAGGAATCACAAAGAAAAACATACCCTTATGTACCAAGTAGATGGGGTGAACTCCAGTTAATACCAAAAGCATATGAAGGTGTTTTATGCCATATAATGCCTGATGCAACCTCATCTGTATTATCTGCTCTGGTTTTGGAGACAATTTGCAGTCTTAACCAAAAAAAAAATCTCTACTGCAGGAGTCACTGCTGAAAAAATTCTTCCATGGTTATGTTAACAGTACTGGAGAGCATGAGTATCCCTTGTCTCGGAACTGGATTTGACAGAGCAACTTGATAGTTACTGGAGTGCAGATCAATCTTTGTTCTCTTCTCTTTC